GGATGACCAGGTGTAATGTGAAGGATGACCAGGTGTACTATGAGGGATGACCAGGTGTAATGTGAAGGATGACCAGGTGTAATGTGAAGGATGACCAGGTGTAATGTGAAGGATGACCAGGTGTAATGTGAAGGATGACCAGGTGTAATGTGAAGGATGACCAGGTGTAATGTGAAGGATGACCAGGTGTAATGTGAAGGATGACCAGGTGTAATGTGAAGGATGACCAGGTGTAACGTGAAGGATGACCAGGTGTAATGTGAAGGATGACCAGGTGTAATGTGAAGGATGACCAGGTGTAATGTGAAGGATGACCAGGTGTAATGTGAAGGATGACCAGGTGTAATATGAAGGATGGCCAGGTGTAATGTGAAGGATGGCCAGGTGTAATGTGAAGGATGACCAGGTGTAATATGAAGGATGACCAGGTGTAATGTGAAGGATGACCAGGTGTAATATGAAGGATGGCCAGGTGTAATATGAAGGATGACCAGGTGTAATGTGAAGGATGACCAGGTGTAATGTGAAGGATGACCAGGTGTAATATGAAGGATGGCCAGGTGTAATATGAAGGATGACCAGGTGTAATATGAAGGATGGCCAGGTGTAATATGAAGGATGACCAGGTGTAATGTGAAGGATGACAAGGTGTAATATGAAGGATGGCCAGGTGTAATATGAAGGATGGCCAGGTGTAATATGAAGGATGACCAGGTGTAATGTGAAGGATGACCAGGTGTAATATGAAGGATGGCCAGGTGTAATATGAAGGATGACCAGGTGTAATATGAAGGATGACCAGGTGTAATGTGAAGGATGACCAGGTGTAATGTGAAGGATGACCAGGTGTAATATGAAGGATGGCCAGGTGTAATATGAAGGATGACCAGGTGTAATATGAAGGATGGCCAGGTGTAATATGAAGGATGACCAGGTGTAATATGAAGGATGACCAGGTGTAATATGAAGGATGACCAGGTGTAATGTGAAGGATGACCATTTGTAATGTGAAGGATGACCAGGTGTAATATGAAGGATGGCCAGGTGTAATGTGAAGGATGACAAGGTGTAATGTGAAGGATGACCAGGTGTAATATGAAGGATGGCCAGGTGTATTAATTGAAGGTGACCAGGTGTAATATGAAGGATGACCAGGTGTAATTTGAAGGATGGCCAGGTGTAATGTGAAGGATGACCAGGTGTAATGTGAAGGATGACCAGGTGTAATATGAAGGATGACCAGGTGTAATATGAAGGATGGCCAGGTGTAATATGAAGGATGACCAGGTGTAATATGAAGGATGACCAGGTGTAATGTGAAGGATGACCAGGTGTAATATGAAGGATGACCAGGTGTAATATGAAGGATGGCCAGGTGTAATATGAAGGATGACCAGGTGTAATATGAAGGATGACCAGGTGTAATATGAAGGATGACCAGGTGTAATATGAAGGATGGCCAGGTGTAATGTGAAGGATGACCAGGTGTGATGTGAAGGATGACCAGGTGTAATATGAAGGATGGCCAGGTGTAATATGAAGGATGACCAGGTGTAATATGAAGGATGACCAGGTGTAATATGAAGGATGACCAGGTGTAATATGAAGGATGGCCAGGTTGTAATGTGAAGGATGACCAGGTGTAATGTAAGGATGACCAGGTGTAATATGAAGGATGACCAGGTGTAATTTATGAAGGATGGCCAGGTGTAATATGAAGGATGACCAGGTGTAATATGAAGGATGACCAGGTGTAATGTGAAGGATGACCAGGTGTAATATGAAGGATGACCAGGTGTAATATGAAGGATGACCAGGTGTAATGTGAAGGATGACCAGGTGTAATATGAAGGATGACCAGGTGTAATGTGAAGGATGACCGGTGTAATATGAAGGATGACCGTGTAATATGAAGGATGACCAGGTGTAATGTGAAGGATGACCAGGTGTAATATGAAGGATGACCAGGTGAAATTTATGAAGGATGACCAGGTGTAATGTGAAGATGACCAGGTGTAATGTGAAGGATGACCAGGTGTAATATGAAGGATGACCAGGTGTAATATGAAGGATGACCAGGTGTAATGTGAAGGAACAACTTACATCCTTGGAGAATCTCCTTATGTTACTCTTCTTTTTCTTGATCTGCTTTTGTTGTTGTTGTTGTTGTTGTTGTTGTTGTTGTTGTTATTGTTGTTGTTGTTGTTGTTGTTGTTGTTGTTGTTGTTATCGTTGTTGTTGGTTGTTGTTGTTTCGTTGTTTTTGTTATTGTTGATGTTTGTGTTAATGTTATTGTTGATGTTTGTGTTAATGTTATTGTTGTTGTTGTTGTTGTTGTTGTTGTTGTTTCGTTGTTTTTGTTGTTGATGTTTGTGTTAATATTATTGTTGATGTTTGTGTTAATATTATTGTTGATGTTTGTGTTAATGTTATTGTTGATGTTTGTGTTAATATTATTGTTGATGTTTGTGTTAATATTTTTTGTTGATGTTTGTGTTAATGTTATTGTTGATGTTTGTGTTAATATTATTGTTGATGTTTTGTGTTAATATTATTGTTGATGTTTGTGTTAATGTTATTGTTGTTGTTTGTTGTTGTTGTTGTTTCGTTGTTTTTGTTGTTGATGTTTGTGTTAATATTATTGTTGATGTTTGTGTTAATGTTATTGTTGATGTTTGTGTTAATATTATTGTTGATGTTTGTGTTAATATTATTGTTGATGTTTGTGTTAATGTTATTGTTGTTTGTTTTGTGTTTAATGTTATTGTTGATGTTTGTGTTAATGTTATTGTTGATGTTTGTGTTAATATTATTGTTGATGTTTGTGTTAATGTTATTGTTGATGTTTGTGTTAATGTTATTGTTGATGTTTGTGTTAATGTTATTGTTGATGTTTGTGTTAATGTTATTGTTGATGTTTGTGTTAATGTTATTGTTGATGTTTGTGTTAATGTTATTGTTGATGTTTGTGTTAATGTTATTGTTGATGTTTGTGTTAATGTTATTGTTGATGTTTGTGTTAATGTTATTGTTGATGTTTGTGTTAATGTTATTGTTGATGTTTGTGTTAATTATTGTTGATGTTTGTGTTAATTTATTGTTTGTTGTGTTAATGTTATTGTTGATGTTTGTGTTAATGTTATTGTTGATGTTTGTGTTAATGTTATTGTTGATGTTTGTGTTAATGTTATTGTTGATGTTTGTGGTAATGTTATTGTTGATGTTTGTGTTAATGTTATTGTTGATGTTTGTGTTAATGTTATTGTTGATGTTTGTGTTAATGTTATTGTTGTTGTTTTTGTTGCGATTTTTTTTTACATTTTATTTAATTTTTATATTTTTGTCATTGTTGATACGAGTGAATAATTTGATGTCGTAGTTTTGATGTGAGTGTCGTGACGTCGTTGTGACGTTTTAGTGACGTGGTTGTGATGTTTTAGTGATGTGGTTGTGACGACGTTGTCACGTTTTAGTGACGTGGTTGTGACGTTTTAGTGACGTGGTTGTGACGACGTTGTCACGTTTTAGTGACGTGGTTGTGACGTTTCAGTGACACAGTTGTGACGTTACAGTGACGTTGTTATGAATTTACGTTTTTTTTTTTTTGGGGGGGGGAGGGGTGATATTTTCGTATGTAGGTTGTTTTTGCGGCATCGTGACGTGTTGTCGTCGTCGAAGTGATCGTACGTCGTCGTGCAGATATCAACACAGTGACAATTGTAACGACACAGCCACGACACATAGGGATGCAAACAAAAAAACACATGTTTAGGACACATTACCACAGTGAGACACATTTATTCACATTTATGTATAATTATATATATATATATATATATATATATATATATATATATATATATATATATATATATATATATATATATATATATATATATATATATATATATATATATTATACTAAAATATTTAATAATTTCAATAAGGGTCTGGTTAGGAAAATATTTAAACTAAAAATATATAATTTCGTATAATTAAATGTCAACAAATTGTATAATTTTTTTTAGACGAATTTTTATTTTCTAAATCTGTGAAAAGCTCTGAAAGCTAGCGGACATTATTAATAAAATTTATTTGTAAAAAGCGAGGCGCATTTTAAGTCGTGATAAACGTGCACCACAACACTGAATATATACACACTCTGAGGTGTATGTCTGTGTATACATGCTGAGAGTGTACTGTAATCCCTGTCTTGGGGATTTGAGTATTCTTGACTGCTGGTGAGGTGGGGAGGTACAGCCTTAGCGATCCACGCTGTAGTCGACAGGCTTGAAACCTCATTAAGCAAGGGTGGGGGACCAGGAGGAGAGAGTTTGTGTGGAGTCTGGGAAGCACACCACTGTATGTACTCGGATCAAGGTAAAACATCTAGCTCTGCTGGGTGCTTGTTACACTATGCGTGTGATAGGTGGTGTTTTGTGTGGGAAACGCTAACACACACACACACACACACACACACTTCCTCTACTTAGAACAAAGGTATATACACCGAGAGATGCTCATCTTTCAGGGTATATACGCTGAGATTATACACATCTCTGCTACTGAGAGATGTGCACTGCTCAGTGTGCATGCACTGAGGCGTGTGCATCTTTCAGTGTATATATTATATATACACTGAGATGTGTATATCTCTCAGTGTAAATACAATGAGACGTGTTTATCTCTGTATCTACACTGGGAAGTGTGTGTATGCGTGTATATCTCAGTGTATGTACTGGTGGTGTACAGGTGACATGCAGTCTTAATAACCCTCGTGCAATTGACAGGCTTCAAACCCAAACAAAACAATTGTTTTAAGACAAAAAAAAAAAGTAGCTGAACAAAGCTATCACCACAGCAACGTTTCGCTCAAGGCACAGCTTTATCGAGTCACAAAGCTAGAGACAAGAGAGTAACGTGGCGACAGAGAGCTCCTTCTGCCACTCCAGTATCCATACCTGTCAACACAACACTTATGAACACCCTCTAGTACTCACATTGTCCATGTTCTCGTTGTTCAGCTTGTTCTTCATGTTGTTGTTCATGATGAGACTGTTGCGGGGGGTGTTTGGGAAGTTCTTCAAGCTTGTGTTCAAAGGTTCTCCGTACAGACCCCGTGGGTAGGCTGATG